CTGCGCTGTCATATCCCCCCCCGCCCCCCGTCGGTCTGTCTGCACTGTCATATGCTCCTAAGGGTTGCCAGATGGTTTCAACAAAAATACCAGACCCACTTGACATTCCATCACAATCTACACTCCATCTTATTTAGAAAATACCCGACATTTCTATTTTCTCAATTTGTTTCCCGAACAGAAAGCTCAAATACTGGACTGTCCAGTTCAAAACCAGACACCTGGCCACCTATATGCCTATCCCCCCCCCATCAGTCTGCTTGCACTGTCATATGCCCCTCTCCCCCTTAAAGCGGTCTGAAAAAAGTGGTTGTGTGTGTATGCATGAGCATTATAGTAAGGAAACAGCAACCGTGGTCACAGGGGAGAGTAACCCCTGCCCAGCAAAGTAGCCAGTCACATAAAATCTTCTTCAGGGTTTAACTTCTTTTTTTCTTTTTGGTTGCATGAAGGTAACCACGTGTGCCTTGTTTCTCATAGTAATATACCTGAACATTATTCACGTAGCAGTGTCAATAGGCAGTCCCTGCCCCCAAAGGACTTGAAAGATAGGCTTCCTCATGCACAGTTGGACCAAATAGCAAAATGCAGAATGGGCTAGCTGAGTTTGATTCATTATTAATCATATTGTTACTGGAGTGCCTAAGGACCAACCGCGAAAGGGCTCCTCTTATGCCAGACAGAGTAGTTGACAGGCCTTGTCCTGAAGAGCTGACAATCTGAGCTGTAAAAGATGGCAAGAGAAAGGGGTATAACATACAAGCGTCTTAGTGACTGGATAACTCCCAAAAAGGATTGTTGAAAAAGAAGGGAGGTTGGTGGGAATCATCCTCCTTGCCCCCTTTAATTTTCAATCCATGCTCCAAAGTAGGGATGTTTAAAAGACTAACCGAAAGCCTGGACCTGCCACTAACAGAGCTGCTCCAGCATCCTGCCTGCCACCCTCCCCCACTGCACTACTGCCTCTGATATAGAGACAGGGACCGTGGGGGGGATGGGAGTTTATGCTCAGGGGGAGCCGGTGCTCCGTGGAACCTCCTGTCACCCCTCTCCCCTCACTGCTGCCTCTGTATCAAGAGGAAACAGTGTGTGAGGGGAGGGGGCAGGTGGGATGCTGCTGTAGCCTCTGTCTGCGGGGAGGTTGGCCGCCCCACGGATGGGAACTGCTGCCACAGAGCATCCTACCGCGGTCCATACTCCCCGTGAACAGAAGCTTCTCTATGGGATACCGGAGTAGCCTCTGTCCATGAGAAGTTTGGGCACTTTACAGATAGGAGAGGCAGGCAGGAACCAGTATGTGTGGGGAGCCAATTTTTTTTTAGACAATTTCCCCTTGCAGACCGGCTCCGCCTGCCACCCTTCACAGCTGCCTTTGACACAGAGACAGCAGCACAGTGTGGCAGGGGGCTCTCCCTGGGTGAAGCTGGGAGCTTACTGGCTGCCGGCCCCACCCCAGGAAGAAGCATTTTAGTAACCGTGTAACAGCTAAAAATTGTTGCAGCTACACAATTACTAAAATAAATGAAGCAAAATGCAGGACAATGTAGCACTTTAAAGAACAACGTTTCCTCAACTCCCGTCCCCTTTCACCCCTCCTCTACCTACGGTACATCGATGACATCTTTATGATCTGGACACATGGCCAAGAAACACTGGAGATATTCCACAGAGATTTCAACAACCTACACCCCACCATCAACCTCAGCCTGGACCATTCTACACGAGAGATCCACTTCCTGGACACCACCGTACAAATCAACAATGGAAAATTAGACACCACTCTCTACAGAAAACCCACCGACTCATACAGTTACCTACATGCATCCAGCTCCCATCCAGAACACACCACACGATCCATCGTCTATAGCCAAGCCCTTCGATACAACCGCATCTGCTCTAACCCCACTGACAGAGACCAGAAGCTTCAGGATCTCTACCAAGCATTTATAAATCTCAACTACCCACCCAGAGAAATAAAAAAGCAAATTGAAAGAGCCAGACGAATACCTAGAAACCATCTACTTCAAGACAGACCCAAGAAAACCAACAATAGAACACCACTTGTCATCACCTACAACCCCCAACTTAAACCTGTCCAACACATTATCAATAAACTACAGCCTATATTGGAACAGGATACCATACTCAAAGAGGCTCTGGGAGACAGACCCATAGTCTCCTATAGACAACCACCTAACCTCAAGATGATTCTTACCAACCACCACAGGACATACCACACTAATACCAACCCTGGTACCTTCCCTTGCAACAAACCCCGTTGCCAGCTTTGTCCACATATTCATTCTGCTGATACCATTATTGGACCTAACCAAGTGAGTTATAAGATCAAGAACACATATTCCTGCGCATCCAGAAATATAATCTATGCTATCATGTGCCGAAAGTGTCCGTCTGCTATGTACATTGGACAAACATCTCAGACACTTCGCCAAAGGATTAATGCCCACAAAACAGGTATCAGACAAGATCACCAAAACAAAACAGTTTCTTGCCATTTTAACCAGAAAGGACACTCTCTCAATGACTTAACCACCTGCATTCTGCTACAAAGACCTTTTACATCTGCACTTGAAAGGGAATCCTCTGAACTGTCATTCATGTTAAAATTCGACACTCTCCAAGAAGGAATGAACAAACACTCAAACTATCTTACCCATTACCAAGATAGCTTCCCCAATTATCACCTCTACTACCATTAGCTCACAAACATCCCACTCCCCCCACCTCTAATATCATCAATTCACAGACACTTACCTTCCTTCCTTCCCCCGCTCCACCCCGCACCCTCCTCCTGTTCTGAAATGTGATTTGTCCTTTTCATATGTGTTCATTTTTTTAATTGTATCCTTTGGTATATATGGTTGTGACTATTTTCTTCCACTATTTGATCTGAGGAAGTGGGTCTGGCCCACGAAAGCTCATCATCTAATAAACCATCTTGTTAGTCTTTAAAGTGCTACATTGTCCTGCATTTTGCTTCAGCTACCCCAGACTAACACGGCTACATTTCTATCACTAAAATAAATGATATCTAACACCCCTTCTCCAAAGCCTGGGAGAGACAGAGCTCTTTAAAAAAAAAATTGTCAGAATTGTTTTAAGGTGAGCAAAACATGGCACTTTTCCAGGGTCTTGTTTTCAGAAATATCTAAACTATTTTGTCTGAAATTTTCCAAAAGGAGTCTTAGGAAGATGCTTAGTGTGGACATTTTTTGCCCAAACACTTAAAGTTTGGCCAAGTTGTAAGCAACTGTCAACAAGATTTTATAATAGGAATTGTCAGGTACCAACCCCACGCATAGCCTTTATATAATAAAAATGTATCCTGTATTTTCTGTATTATAATCCAAAAAGGATCAGCATAATAGCATTTCAGCTTACACACCAAACCAAATTACAAAATTATGTTATCACATCTATGCTGTAGCTGGGATCCTGACCTTGTAACAGCTATGTAGTTGGAATTTAAAAGGGAGCTGCCAGGAGAGAAGTTTTTGTAGGGCAAAGGGCACAAGAATGTAGGTTGGAGTAACAATGCAGAAATGTGGGCAATGAGAGAGCTTTGGAGAGTTGTGTGTGACATTGGTCAATATATTTAAGAATAGAAGATTTTGCAATAAAAATAATGAATCTAATTACATAGTGTATTTTGATTCTGAAAAGTGGATCATCTTTATGTGTATCTTCTGAATTTAGGGACAGCTGCTTTTTCCTTTTATTGGCTGTGCAAGGCTCTGCAGGGCCACAAGAAAGTGAATTTGGTTTTTTTTGTTCCTTTGTATTATCAACAGAGTTGAGTAGTAAAATTTAAACACTGGGTAGAGAGGTAATTGTTTTGGCCTGGTGTTGCAAGAAAAGGAAAGAATTCAGCTTAATTCTTAGCTCTCAAGCTGCATTTGAAGAGCAGGCTGCTTTTTCTGCGCTTTGACCACTGAAAAAGTTTCCACCAAAATATTTTATGACTTCTTTGTGGAGTGTTGGGCCTGGAAGTTAGGATGGAGAGGGTTTCGTATAAAATTGGAGGCGAGGAACTTCAGAGGGTGATGGTTTATAGTACATTCAGTGAGTTTAGTAATTAGAGATTGGATAGTAGTTTTGGTGGGGGTTTTTTAGATGGGAGAGACTAAATCATGCCTGTGTTTTAAGATAGGAAAACAACGGAATGAGCGCTTAAAGAAAAGACTAAGGGTGGGAATGAGAGTGGTTACGAGGGAGATCAGAAGATGGAATGAGATGGGGTCACTGGGGCAAGTGGAAGGATTAGACAAGGCAAGTAGATGGAAAAACTTCAGTGTCTTTGATGGGAGGAGGAGAGAGCTCTAGGAGGGGAAGTACACACCCCACAATGTACAGATCACATGAATTAAATACGCACATTCTCCGTCTGTTGTTCTTTAGCTCTAAATGCTCAGGTTTTTGGTAAATATCCTGATTTGCTGTCTACAAATAAATCAATCTCTTTTTTGACCGAATTTAACACTGTATAAAAGCAGATGGCCCAATGTTGGCCCCAGCGATACTGTAGCTACACTGAAATAACTCTTCAACTCAGATAAACTATGAGTTTTTGCAGGTAATGAATATTAGAATCTAGTCAAGTAAGTTTTGAGCTTTCTGTTTTGGTTCTCTTGATCCTATATCTGCATGTTTACCAATTAATCTGAATCCTGCAATGTGATCTGGTTGACCATACCTTGCAGGGCCCTATTGACTTCAGTGGAACCTCCAAAGGTGCATAGGATTTGTGTTTGTGGACCCCAGTCTTGCCCTTTTCAAGGCCAGAAAATTTTCTCTTTAGAGTGCTTTGAAATAGGAGCATGCTCAGAGTTTGCAAAGGGCTATCTGAGACACAGATTAAAATTATGAATAAAGACTGGCACAGATTTTCAACAGCATGTATGCTAATGTGCATGTGCACAGAACTCTGTGCATATGTGCGTGCACATATGCAAATTGGAATTGCTCTCGCATGGATTTGCGCACATGTGGAAATTTAGATCTTTGGTTTTTCACTAAATCATAGAAAATAAGTTACAGATTTTATGCAAGACAACAAAATGCACTTCTGTATTTGAAAAACCTATCACTTAAGAGAAAATACTGTCGAATACTTTTAAAATACTTTAAAAAAAATTCATTATTACTTTGTGCTCATATACCAAATGTTGACCTGAGATTGTAATATCTTTACAAAGATAAGTTTGTTTTATTGCACTCATTTTAAAGTTAGAACAGCGCTATTTTTGTGTTCAAAATGCTGTAATTTATAACATACTTTTCAAGGTGTATAAGTGGATTATGCTACATAGAGGAAGTTTGAGATATTGAGATTTCATTTCAGACACTGCACTCTTATTCCATTATCTGAATCCAGCACTTATAAAACTGTTATATGAAATGGTAGATGAGTATCATTGCAAAACAGAGAGGAACCATTTGTGTAACCCAAGTGGTCTTTTTAGCCCTATTGTCTATAAACTTATTAAGTTATCCATGTGCACTGACTTTGTCACATAATGTTGTGCTGTAGCTTTATAAACATATGGTATTCCTACATGAATAATAGAGATGTAAAATCATGTTTAATCAATTGACCAATTAAATATTAGGTTAATCTAACATTAGCTACTTAAATGACTAAAGCGGGAATCTGGGCTGGGGCTGGCTGCCAGCTCCCAGCCATCCACTAGAGCAGCCCAGCCTGCGGGTGCAGATAAGAGCAGGTGGGGAGCTGCCCCAGCTTCCACCAGTTATCAGTTAACTGAAACTGGTAAGCATTACCTGTTTAGTTAGGTTGATGCTTACTGATTAACTGGGTAACTGTCTGACCTTTCATATCCCTAATTAGTACTTAAATAATTATGAATTTTAGCACTATTTATAATTATTTTTTCCCTTATGTGACTTGTAAGTTATCTTTAACTTATTGATTTCACACCGGAATAAATGAACCTTCGTCTCTCCTGCCCACCTTGCTTTCTAGGAAATTAGCGGGATGTACTCTTTTCATCACGGGTGCAAGCCGGGGCATTGGCAAAGCAATTGCTTTGAAGGCAGCAAAGGATGGTGCGAACATTGTGATAGCTGCTAAGACAGCTGAGCCTCATCGCTCTCTCCCAGGAACAATATACACTGCTGCAGAAGAGAGTAAGTTTTAATGAGAAAGGGTGGTCTTGTTAAGGCATTTGACTAGGACTCTGGAGTCCTCAGTTGGTTTCCTGGCTCTGCTACAGACTGTCTGTGTGACCATGGGTAAATCATTTAGTTTCTCAGCCCCAGTTGCCCATATGTAAACTTGGGATAATACTTGCTCTGTTTCACAGGGGTGTTAGCAAGGTAAATGTATTAATTTGTGTGTGGTGTGATGTAAAAATGTGAATGGGTAACCAGTTACCTGGGAGCTGACTGCAGCCTGCTGCAGGCAGAGAACTGCTCTAGCCATGCCAGGTCCCCATATGGGCTGCTAGCTCCCAGCCTGCATAGGGCCAAGAGAGCCCCCTTGCCCACCTCTTTTTGGGCTGGAGTGGCCCCCTCCTCCTGCCTGCTGGGGGGGCAGCTCTAGCTTGGTCATAGCTGGTGGGTGACCTCCACAAACCCCCCTTTAATCGGTTAACCTATTAAACACTACGTTTAACCAGTTAAACAGGACTTTTCATCCCTAGTGTGAAGAACCGAGGATAATGAAGACTGTGTATCTGTATAAAATATCAGAGGGGTAGCCATGTTAATCTGTAGCCACAAAAACAGTGAGGAGTCCTGTGGCGCCTTGAAGACTAAGAGATTTATTTGGGCAAAAATAAATTTTGGCACTTCAGTGAAATAAATGTTAGTCTTCAAGGTGCCATGCAACTCCTCGTTCTTTTATAAAAAGTATGTGTATAGAGCTAGATAGGTGGCTAGAGAGTGTTGGCACATACTCTTCAGTATTTTAAAATTTCTTTTCAGTGTTTATTAAATAGTATTCAAAGAGTTAAGGGTGTTCTGATGTTCCCGTTTAAAAGTAGCCTTCCTAGAATTTGATTATTGTAGTAATGAAATAAGAGTTGGTTATAGATGACTTGAGTGTTTTTAATTCTAAGTTTTTTAGAATTAAAAATATCAGTTGAACCATTACTTTAACATGTGACTCATCTAACATACAATAAATATTTTATTTAAAAAAGGTATTGCCACTACAGTTGTTAGCTTGCTTTAAGGCAAGCTACTATTTGTTGTAAAAAATGTGTGCAAATGTGCAGCATAACAGTCAACCCAAGTGCACCTCTATGCTTACACACAAACCTTTGTAGGATCTAACCCTAAAACAATATTTAGTTTGGTTATGTATTTCCAGCCTTTTCAGAAACAGAAGGGAATGTGTTAAATTACTCCTATATTTTTTTTAATAGTGGTATGATGGAGGGATGTAAGCAACTAGTTGGCTGTCTGATAAGCAAGTGCTTATCAGATAGTCAACTAGTGACTTAACTAGTCCCGTCCCCCCGTTGCCTTTGTCAGAGAGCGACAGCAACGGGGGGAGCAGGGTCTGGTGCTCGGGGGAGCCGGCTTAAAAGTAGATTCCCCCAGCACCGTCTCTGTGGGGGAGAGGACATGGGGTACAGCGGGGAACTGGCGGCGCTTTCGCCTTTGAAATGTAGCAGGAGCGGGGCTCTTGCTAGATTTCAAATCAAAGTGCCACCAGGAACGCAGGGCCAGTGAGGAACTCAAACAGTCCCCTTGCTGGCCCTACACTCCCCCTGGCGCTTTGCTTTTTTTTTTTTTAATGTACAAGAGTCCTCCTGGGGGCTCTTGTTTGTTTCAAAAGCAGGGAGCAACAGGGCTCTTGCTACATTTCAAAGGCAGAAGCACCTGTATCGACTAATTGAACAGTCGATGCAAATTACATCGACTATTCGATTAGATGATTAATTTAAATTTAACATCCTTAGTATGCTGTTGATTCCCTAATTTATTTTGGGATAGAAGTATGATAGAAGCAGCAGAAGCAATCTTAATATTTAGGTTGCCTAGCATTTTTCATTATTAAAAATTCTTCAGGTCATTTTTCAAGTGCTCTAATATTTGTATGGGTTGCAGCAGGTCTTCAGAATTTGTCAGGGGAACAGTTCTGAGGTCATGTAAATGCATTCAGGTTTGGAAGGCTTATGAGCCACTCATTTGTTTTATTCATGTCATCTTGCTTTTGACTTGTTACCAATCCATTTCTCCTCCCCCTCCCCCTCGTGGCAACTTTGACCATGAAGTGCCCCATCATGCCGCTTACAAAGCACATTTGGAAAGGACACAGACAAAATAGATTTTCTGTTCATTCCCCTCTTCCCTTCAAATACCCTTTGGCCTCTAGAGTATGGTACACAGTGCTGGAACAAAGAGACCTCTGCTCACCAGCATTCACTCTGTTTTTTAAATAAATTGGCTTCTCACTTCCTTCTCCCTGTTCATTCCTCTAGTCCCACAAATTACACTGGCATGAAGCTCAGGATGAACAATATTTACTTCTGGATTAGCCTCTTCCCAGTTTAAGCAGTAGTCACTGATTATTTTAAAACAGATATTTCAATTTTAAAAATATGTTAGGAGCACTATTAAGTACAGACCATATTTTAACTTTTAGCAGTTTCCCAGTAACTTGAAATTTCCCCCTTTCTCCAAGGAAGTCTCGCTGAGGAATTCATTGTTGCAGATTCCCCATTACCTTTCATGATCAAATAATAAAAGATGTTGCTATCTAGGAAAGTGAGTGTTTTCTTAATGAATGTGAGTGTTGGTCCCTAATTCCATTGGAAGTTGATGGTGCTCAGGACCTGTAATGGTTGTTTTATGTTTTTGAAGTCTGGTGGTAATTACTAACTCACAGAAAATATTTTATCCCATATTAGATGCTTAGTGTAAGCTTAAATTCAAAATGAAATGTCTTTTTTTCCTACTGTACAGTTGAAGCTGCTGGAGGAAAGGCTTTACCATGTATTGTTAATGTGAGGGAAGAACAGCAAATTGTTGATGCAGTGGAGAAAGCTGTCCAGAAATTTGGAGGTATAATGGAGAGTTCATGGACGGTATTCTGCATGTTAATGAAAAATCTTTTAAATTTTCAATCAAATTAGTGAAAACTTTAGCTTAAAAATTGAATAAATTTGAATAGAATCCTTTTTGTTTTAAATGTTGGAGTTTAAAATATTAAAGCAAAATGAATGATTTTAAACACAGGAATAGACGTTTTGGTGAACAATGCGAGTGCTATCTCCTTGACTGGCACCTTGGAAACTCCTACAAAGAAAATAGATCTTATGATGAGTGCTAACACACGAGGAACCTACCTTGCGTAAGTACTGTATGTGGATAACTAATTGTTTGAATGCATCTGTAGATTGAATTACATAATTTTCAACCTAGTTAACTTTACTCCGTAACTTTTGTAATTATGTTATTATACTGACTTTTTAATCTGTGGGGAAAATTTAAGGTACAAGTACAGGTTGTACTTCCAAAATCCGGGACTCTCTGGCCTGGCAACATCTGTGGTCCTGCAAGATCACGGATGCTCCTGGGGCAGAGAGCCCAGAAGCCTAAGGGCAGGCGGCCCAGCTGGGTGGGATATCAGTGTTGGCACACTGGCTTGGGGCAGTACCCAAGAGTGCAGGGCTAAGACCAGAGCCCCGGGGATTTCTCCCAGCTGCGTGGGAATGGGGCTAGAGCCCCACAGCTTTCCTCCGACTGCACAGGAATGGAGTCCTGAAGCAGGAGCTGGAGCCTTTGCCACCCAGGGAGCCAGCAGGAGCTGGGCAAGAAGCCCAACCAGGTTGGGGGAGATGAGGCAGAGTTGTCTGCCGGGGCAGCCTGCCAGCAGCAGGTGACAGGCTTGGGGACCGGTGGCAGGAGACCTCCCCTGGTCTAGTAAATTCTCTTGTTCAGGACCAGTCAGGTCCCGATGATGCTGGGCCAGAGAGGTCCAACCTTTAGCGTCTGTGTTTGTGTATGTACAAACATACATAAGTGAAAAAATGGTTGAACTTGCAACTCTGTTATGGGTTGAAAGACTAATGGATGTGCTATGTGTCATTAGAAAGGTTTTCCCTTAAACTTACAATAAGATCTATGGCCCAGATCTACAAAGATATTTAGGCTCCTAACTTACTTTGAAGGCAATGGAAGTAAGGACTATAAATATCTTTGCAGCAGGTCCTCAATATCTGATCTTGAGTGCCAGTGATTAGTAACTTTCTGACACAAGTATTCAGGTTCTTCATACAGTTAACAAACAGCTTAGATAATGAAATTCTGCAAAATGAGCTCGAGCAGACCCTTCCCTCCCCCAACTTTTAATCAGTTAACCATTGCAACAATATGGTTAATTGGCTAACTGGCCAAACAACATGTGCAGTTGACCAACCACCAAAACAATGCATTTAACTAGTTAACCAACTAATTGGAATTTTCCTTCCATGCTATCCTCACGTCAACCCATTTTTCTTCTTCCCTTGCTGCTTGTGTAGCCAGGTTCTATTAATGTGTGAAAAAGCAATTCTTTAAATGCAATTTGTGGTAAATTCTAGGTTCATGATATTGCATTTAAGAGTGGTAGCATTGTTGTATGTGGTTCTTAAATTTTCTATTTTACATATATTTTTATCAATATGTTTTTGGTTTGTAAACTTGCAGAAAATTAAAGCATACATTAATTTGAATTATATAGTATAAAAAAAAACCTGCATTGAAAAGCACTCTCCATCTCAACCAAAACCATCCTTGCCTAACCTCCCACTGAGAAATATAATGGAGTGCACAGCTATGTCTTACAAAGTGCCCAGAAGTTAACATGACTTGGGCTTGTTGAATCAAAAGAAGCAAATTTCAGGGTCATGGCTGTAGCCTGTGGAATTGAAAGCAAACTTTTTTTTTCTTCAGATGAGAAAAAATTTGTCTGATATTCAAAATTATACATTTTGTTTACATATTTGAGTTTTGGTTGACTACAAAGCAGTTATTTAAACTAGACTAGACATTTTGTTTAATCCTACTTATAATTTTAATACTTTATTGTGGCATAACCTAGAGATCTTAATTGGGTTTAGATCCCATTGTGTGCACTCTTCAGACTTACAGTAAATGACAATCTCTACTCTCAAAGAGCTAACCGTCTAAAGGTTCGCCCTTGCAATTGACTGCACATAACTGCGTGTCGTCAGTTGTGGGGTTGTAGTCTAAAAGCTTACAGGAGTTTCTCGCTACTAATTAAGTATCATAAATTACATTACTTTCCACCATCCATTTGCAGCACTAGGTTTAGAAATGACAATTGACCAGCTTTCATAAAATACAGTTTGCATCTTACTTTTAGTCTTTGGATTTTTTAACTCAATAAAATGGGTGCAGTTTTCTTTTTAATGAAGAATGGGATTTTTCCAATAATATACTTTTATGACAGGAAAAATACTTGAAGGTTGACATGTATGGCTAATGTGCAAGAAAAATCTTTCTCAGATAACATAACAAATGATAGTCACAATTAAAGCTGCTGGGTGCTGAGCACTTCTGAAAATTTGGCCCAGTATGCATGCATAAATATTAGGAAGAAACTTTAATTTAGGTTACATGACATCATTATATTGGTTTTCTCTTTAGATTAAGCAGAATATTGGCAGGTGCAAAGTAATGAGATGGGAGTAGATTACTTTCGAATTCTTTAAAAGATGCTCTATATTCACTAGCATCTCTAAAAAATAGGCATGCATCTGACGAAGTGGGTCTTTGCCCACGAAAGCTTATGCTCCTACACTTCAGTTAGTCTTTAAGGTGCCACAGGACTCCTCGTCACTTTTTCTAAAAAATAGTGGTTTTGCCAAAATCATCAAATTTTTGTATAAATAAGCACCTTATAGCTACTAACTTGTCTAATTTTTTTTTCATTTGCAGATCTAAAATATGCCTTCCTTACTTAAAAAAGAGTAACATCGCTCATATCCTCAACATTAGCCCACCAATTAACCTGAATCCTGTATGGTTCAAAAATCACTGTGGTAGGTGCTGTTATGTTTTCTATTTTAACATTTTTTAAAATGAAGAAGTAATTATGAAAGGTACAAGAGTGACAGGCTTGTTATAATGTGCTTGACCAGGTACAGTACAAGCAGTGGAAGTTTAGGCTTCCTTAGCAACAGGCCTGCTGATGGGGCAGGAGCGTGAGGGGACAGAGTACAAAGGAGGCAGTTGCTCTGGGGCCTGGCGATTCAGAAGGGCACAGTGGCCCAGAGCTCCAGGCCCCTTTGAATTGTTGCCAGAGCAATAGTCCATGCAACGCCGAGGACAGCGGGAGAGGTGGGCGGTGCAGTTAGCCCCTTGTGCTCAAGGCTCTGCCCCTTCTGTGGACACAAAGATGGCTTCCTCCCCTCTTCCCCCCCCCCCCCCATTATTTCAGTCGTCAGAGGATAACTCAGTTTTTGTGCCCTGTTCACCCTTTCTCATGTAAGGAATACATTGGCATAATTTCATGGAACATCATGTTAGACTGTACTAGTTGTCCTCATCCATTCCTTATCTGGAAAGCAGTCAGCTCTCCCCCGGTATGTTGTTCTGTTATAAGAGCAATGAAATACACTTCTCTATTCCTGTGGGGCCAGAAGCCAGTCATAGACCTTATATTTACAGAACAGCTTGACAATTCTGCTGTCTCTGTGCTCTTCAAAGTGTTTTGTGCCAAAGGATGGTAAAAAGGTAAGTTTTCAAATGTATAATGAAACTAGATTACCTTTGCCTTGCAGGAATTTTTGTAATTGCTATTTTAGTGCAGGTAAAACAATAATAAATGGCATTGGAAAAAAAAAGTTAATCTGTGTTTAAAACATAAAAGTTCAACGTAGACCCATTCTCATTTCAGTTCTTTTTTTGTGCAGATTGTTCCACCCTAAGGAATTTGTTTTTAATATATAATTATAGTGCATCAAGAAGTAAAGAATTAAATCAATTAATCTTAACATTTTATCAGACATTTTTATCTTACTAAATAAAATTCTTACTATGTCTTAGCATATACCATTTCTAAATATGGCATGTCCATGTGCGTGCTGGGGATGGCAGAAGAATTTAGAGGAGAAGTTGCAGTGAATGCTTTATGGCCTCAAACAGGTAACTTTCTTTTAACTTACTTTAATGTTCTTTTTGATGTTAGTAGTTGTATTTCTTCTCTGCTCAGGCTTCCATGTTGCAGATCTCATATAATTTTAAATAGGTTTAAAACTGTTTTGAGCAGGTATTTGAAAATTAGTTTACTGAAGGTTGTTTTTGTTGTTCATTGCTGATGTTCAATGTTTCTCCAACAAAATACTGGTATCTGGTAGAGCCACTATTGTTTCCTAGTTCTCAGTTGGCAAGCCACTATGACTGACCACATGTGCTGCAAATAGCGAGTGGCTGCTTGTAGCAGTTTATTTATGACATTCATTTGAATAAAACAACCTATGAACTGTTTGACTCACTGACCCCTTTTAAAAAAATATTTGCCAGTTGCTTTTCTTAAGTTCATTTACCCTGTTCTCCTTTTAATGTGCACAGGTCTCTGATATCAATAGAAATTCAAAGGGACTATCATTTGTTATGTTATCTGTAATATATGCTGTTCATCTGTGTCTCTGAGAAGATACTTGGCAAGAACCAAATTTTGATCATGTTTGGAATACCATGCTTTCTTCCTGCCTCAGTGCAGGGGGCTAGATGTGATGACTTCTTGAGATCTCTCCCAGCCCTACATTCTTATGATTCCATTAAATTTAGGGCCCTACCAAATTCATGTCCATGAAAATGCATCACAGACTGAAAAATCTAGACTTCCACCATTAATCTGGCCTTTTGTGTGCTTTTGTCTATATATACTATACAGATTTCATAGGGGAGACCAGTGTTTTTCAATTATGGTTCCCTTACCCAAAAGTGAATTGCAGGTAGTTGCAAGATTATATTAGGGAGGTCATGGTATTGCCACTCTTACTTTTATGCTACCATCAGAGCTGGGGAGCTGAGGAGCAACAGCTGTTGGTTGGGCACCCAGTTCTGCAGTTAGTGCCCTAGCAGCAGCAGTGCAGAACTAAGGATGACCACACCATACCATGCCACCCTTATTCCTGCGCTCTTACCTGCCCATGGGCATGGGCTCGAGCCTTCCTTCACCTCCATTGCCTCTGCATGTAGTCGTTAGGATTAACCCATGTCCCCAGACTTATCAGTTAATCAGGTTAATGACTATATGCCAATGTCCCTAGGTTGTGGAATCCCCATCACTGAAAATTTTTAAGAACAGGTTAGAAAATCTTTCAGGGATGGTCTCAGCATAGTGTGATGGACTAGATGAAATTGTACTGGCATAGCAATTTTGATTTTAAATAAGTCACATATCTAATTGAAATAATTATCCTGATACAAAAACAATATGTAGACGAGGTCTTACTCTCTCAACTTGGAAGAGCAGAGTAATTGAACCAAGGAAGACTGATTCTCAAAATAATGGTGTAGGCTACATTCTTTTCCACCTGTACAATGTAACACTAGTCCTGTAAAAACAGACACCTCTACATGTCAGTGATTTAAAGCAAATGAATGTAGGAAAGTCCATATGCATTGAATATTTGTTCTTATTTATCATTAGTCTGCCTACAGCTTCTATTTATGTCTCAAGTAATGTACTTAACTAAAAATATCTTATGACTTCGTGAGCAGGAGAGTAAATCTGTTGTTGACATTAGAAAGACTTTTATGTAGTTTGTGTTCAGTTCGTAATGCTTTGACAGGTGGTAACCAGATTCAGAGTTGTGGGAAACAGCTTGAAATCTAGAACATAACTCTTCTCAGTATTTTAGCCATTTTCTAATCCTTTCCTCCCCAGACCCTCCCTGCATATGTGTCAATATGACTTACAAGTGTTTTTAATTTAGGCAGTATTATAAGATATAGTCATTTATAGATATGATTTGAAAAAAAGGAAAAGTGCTATACAGGATCATAGGGACAGCTTTCATATGCTGCTTATGCTCATTTGAATATAAAGAATATATGTATGCTTAGAATTCTAGCATATTGATAACATAAGCTGAATAATAAGGTTTGCAGTACTAATATGTTTCAAATTTGTATTTAAGTTGAATCATTTAACAATACAACTAATGTGCTTTAAAAGAAATCATGAAATAGTTCCCTCAAAACAACTGGGGAACTAGAAAATTTCAAACTTGAGTGGTACTCCAGTTTTTTTAAAAAGGCGCTTTTTGCTGTTGATTAAAATATCGTTAAAAAAGAAATCAGATATTTCTGTCAGTTACATCTTTGTGAATCTGTGACTGAGCTGTAACTGCAGTTCTTGCTCTCTCTTCCTTTCCTTCCCTCCTTTGTTCCAAAACCCTTATGGGCATTTTGATGTACTGCACTTACATAAGGTAAACTTTCAAAGTTAGAAAACTGGATTAAATTTTGTGTGTGAATTTAGTATTTACAGCCAGTGCTGAATTGACACTCTCAGAGACTGAAGTCCTTTATTTGAACAAAAGAACAGGTAGAACCGACAGCAAAAATGAAGGCTTCTGCATGCAGCCCTGCCAATGTGCTTCAGTCTTGACCCGTGGAGATCACCTCTAGCATTTGTTTATACTAGAAGGTTTTCCATAATAGTTAAGTTAGCTGACCTGGTGCTAACTTCTACTTCCTGACAAGTATAGTAAAGGACAAGTTATGGTGGTGAGTTAGTTGTAGTTAGAATCCTCTGGGACCGGATATAATACTGACCACACCATGGTCTTGTCAAAACTGACCACAGAATTGTGGTCCACATCATGTCACTTTACTTGTTAAGAATCATGTTCAACTAGCACTCAGTTCTTGATTTCTCTGCTCACATATGATGCAGTAATGATATGGATTTTCGTGTGTGTGTGTGTGTGTGTGTGTGTGTGTGTGTGTGTGTGTGTGTGTGTGTGTTGGAAACAATGAATATCTTCTAGCTATAGGGTCAGAACTCTCTCTAAATCTCTGATTCTTGGGTATGGTGCAGACTGTTTTAAACTGTAAAACATTTGCAGTGAGATTGGATAAGGAGATGTTTCCCCTTCCTCAGTTCCTTTTAGATATCAAGGATCTAGCTAGATAAACTGTGGCAGCAAGCCTCCCAGCCCTGGTCTACAGGCTCCGGCTCATATTATTACTCTAAAATAGTCTGTGTAGACATTGCAACTCATGCTGGAGTTAAGGCACTGTACTTTTGGGTGGGGGCAGGCTTCAGAGCCTAAGGTCCAGCATGAGCTGTATCTTCAAAGCATGAGCCCAACCTGGCTTTGGAGGCTACACTGCTGCAAGCTGTATTCCTTATCCTGAAACAGCAAGCTGGAATTCCTGCCTGTGGTTCCTTGACTTTAGCCCATTTTCTTGCTTTTTCTCCTTTGTTAGGAGTTGGAAAGTAAGGTGCGTGTTTTTTTTTAATTTTAAATAGTTCTGATTCCATAGCAACTGCCTCTCCTAACCCAGGTGGTTTATTCTGTTGTATTTTCCCCCCTGCCCTGACATTAGATCCTGTAGGACAGTGGTTCCCAAACTTTTCAGCATCATGCCCCCTTTTTGATCTTTGAAAAATCCTCAGGCTCCCCCCCACCCCTCCCCCAGCAAAACTTGTTGAGCAAAAAAAAGAACTGACTGGGGCAGCAAAACTTGATGGGGGAGGGGGCTGGGTCACCTTGCACCCTCTCCCCCCCTCGGAATTTCTTCATGCCCCCCAGTTGGGGAACCCATGCAGTAGGAGAATCCACGCTTTAAAACTGTGTTTCTTACAGAAGCAAAATGTCTGTGACAGACTCCTGCATACCTCATGTTCTTGTGGCTTGGGTAGAATGGCTTTTGCCCAACGGATGTTTGTAGTTTGCCACTCTGGCCCACACTGATCTTGAGTATTGGCTTCAGTGCATGCAGAAAGAAGCTCCTCTTGATCTCCAAGTTCACAGTCTCTGCTTCTTCAAAACACTAATCCCTATGGCTACCCAAGTTCAAGTCTAAGAGATGCTATATTGTGAGGGGCCTTGGAGGGCAAAACAGCATGGGATTTATCACCAAATTATCTTTCTCGTTATCAAGTAACAAAGAGAAGAAGCAAAAAAGAGGACACCAAGATGGATTGATTTAAATTAACGAGTAGTAAATCTTGGTTTAAATAATTGATTTTAATCTTGTTTTGCATTAACCTTTTTTAGTTCCTTTCCTAGAGAAAGGCTGATGATCATTGATTGGAAACAATTAAAACATGTTGATTTGCAAGTAAATGTACCATTTGCACAAAATTTGGTATTACCTCTTGCCAACCAGGCACATACACTGTATCTATACATATTTATTTAAGCAACTGTATAGTGTAACATCTGTTTATTCAGATTCCTAACTTCACCATTTGCTACCATAATAAAAATGGAAATGGACACATTTTTTATTTACTAGAGTATTAATCTTTTTACTCACATTTTGTGTGACATTCTACTTGGATGGAAAGTGAAAGTCAATTAATTTGAATCTTTTAAGTTTTTTTTATTGGATTAAATGAAACAATCTTAAATGAGCAGGATACATAAGAGAAAGTAGTTTTTATCATAGTAGGTCTTGCATTTAAAAGTGATTTTTTTTTTAAAGGAAAAGTATTATAAAGGTATTCTTAATTCTTTATGGGATGGAGGGATGTACTAGAAACTAGCTTATTCTCACCACTTTTTATTCATACACTGAAAGAGGAAAATAAAATTTTGCTTGCTTTTTCAACACCCAGTTGGAATCCTTAAATGTAATGAATTAAGTAAGTGAATTAAACTAGTTGAGTAAAATAAAATGAAGATATTCTTTCTTTAACCTCCTCAAAAATGAGGAGTACAGGATCTGCCAAAAAAGCTCCCCGCTGTTGGCAGAGCTGCGGATAGACTTTACTTTCACTTTCAAAAGGGCACTTGATCGGCACAGCGCCCGAATGTGAGTATGCAAATGAAGCCTGGGATATTTAAATCCTGGGCTCATTTGCACTTTTGAAGTGCTTGATTTGCATCCCTCTGTCAGCAGCGGGATGCAGTCTGAAGGTAGCCTAAGTGTCTGTGTGCAGTAGAAGAAGGGAGAAAAACATTAAAACATCAGTGCTGACCACCAGATTTTCTTTTTTCCCTTGAACTTTTTAGCTATACATACGTCTGCTATGGATATGCTGGGAGGAGCTGGTGTGGAACAGCAATGCAGAAAAACTGATATCCTTGCAGATGCTGCATACTGCATTTTAACAAAACCAAAAAGTTTCACAGGAAACTTCGTTATTGATGAGAATCTTCTGAGAGAAGAAGGAATTAAGAATTTTGATGTATATGCAGTTGCACCAGGTAAAACAGGTGTTAAGAAAGGAAATAAGCTACAAGTAAGTTCATAATCTGTTCTTCTGCTAAAGACTGGCAGATATGCAGTCCCATTGTACCCTTGCCTTGTGCATTCCCAGGAACAGTTGGCTCAGTCTTTCAGAGCCTCCACTTCTGAAACTTCCACTAACTAAATATCAGTTAACAAAAGGAAAATCAAAATGCTTTTTTGTTTCTCACTGATTTATGCAAACGGTTACTCTTCAGCCTATGATTTCTCTCCTGCCTGTTCAGGTGCCCTCTGCTGCTTCTTTTTAGTGAAAGGTTTTCCATTATGAATCCACAAGACTTCTAGTTCTGTTTTACACCTCTAAGTAAAATCTGTCTCTAAATAAAAATATTAGATACTTGGCTTTCCCTTGGTACTGACTTTTTCTTTGCAGAAATTCTGCAATATCTATTTAGAAGCTTAGACTTTAATACTATTACAAAAATAGATTATTATAATTTTTGCCACTTTACTCATTTTTTATTTATCTGTTTGTTTATTTTTAGGTCACCCATTACTACCAGATTTCTTTCTAGATGTAGATCCTGATACTTTAGCTATGAAAATGGAAGCACAAGGTAAGAAATTAAGTACTTATATCAAATTCATTCACTGAGCCTAATTTCAAATCATGAAGGTGAAATATAAAGGTTGTTAAATATATTTCCTCCTAAGAACTTAGTCTCATGAAAGATACTTTGGGGGGCAGGGGAGAATTATGTGTGTTTGAATTAGGGATGTGAATGGGTGATGCTTACCATATAACAGTTAACTGTTACCTGGAAGCATCCATTTGCCCATGGCTGCTGGCTCCCAGCCCACGGGGGGAGAGAGGGAGGGCTGCCAACTCCCAGCCTGTGCTGGCTGGGACCTGGCAGCCCTCCCCTCAACCCCTTACTGTTTCTGCCCCACATGAGCCAGCAGACTCCTAGCTTGCTATCCCACATGGGCTGGGAGCTGGTAGTCCCCCCAGCTGTTGCTTCTCCCTCCCCTGCCCATGCAAGGCTGCTGACTGATTAAATAATTAAATGGGATGTTATATCCCTAGTTTGGAGGCAAAGGCTCCCTATTTGAGGTTGGGTCAAAATTTTGCCTTTGACAGGACTTTGAAAATGGTACCTAACTAGAAAAATAAAACTGTGAAGCACTCTTCATAAGTCTGAATGTTTAGGGATTATTGATACTTCCTGGGAAAAGAAATAAACAGTCCAAAACACACTACTCAGGTTTCTTTCATGATCTGCCTTGCTTAATTATGTACCCCTCTTTGTAAGGATGTAAAAGAATCATCTGTTAGTCAGACTACCTGATAAGCATAGGCTTATCAGGTAGTTGAGTCCACTACTCACATTTCCCACCCCCTTGATACTCCTATATCAGAAACAGGATCTGGAGTTGGGGGGAGCCAGCCCCTACTACATTTAAACTGCAGAGCCGCAGTGGCCGTGGAGGGGAGGGCAGGGGAAGGAAGGGGAGGCAGAGGTGCAGCAGTCAGGGACCTGATGTGAGCCGTGGCTGCTGAGTCCTGGGTCGCGCTTGATCTCAGACCTTGAGAGGTCATGTAGGCCAGCGGTTCTGCCCCACTTCTCAGCCAACCAGCGCCGGGCAGGGGCGGGGTCTCCTCCTGGATGCAGGAAGAGTGGTTCGCTGCGCAGCAAGAGAGCTGCATGGAGCTTGGCACAGCAACCTTAGATCAGCTGCAACCTGGGCAGTAGCACTCAGCTGGCGGCTGGAAGGCAGCACAGAGCTAGATGAGGGGGGAAGGGCAGATACTGGAGACTCTGGGAGTGAGGCTAGTGCTGGGGGACTCTGGGGATGGAGGGCTCTAAGAGATAGGGGATTGACACTGGGGGGCACTGGGAACCAGGCTAGTATTGGGGAGGACTACGGGGGCAGGGCTGGCACTGGGAGGGTTCGGTGCAATGGGCTCTTGGAAACAGGAGGCTGGCACTGGGGAGGGAGGTCTAGTGGTGGGGGGGCTCTACGAGGCGGGGAGATGGCACCAAAGCATTTGGGATGGGGGGCTGGCACTGGGCAGCTCTGAGGGAAGGAGGTTGACACTGTGGGTGGTGCAGGGAACTCTCGGGTTAGTGGCTGGCGCTGGGGGGTAGTGGAGGGGTGGGGGGCTCTAGGAGTTAGGGATGCCACTGGGGTGTTTTGGGGACTGGCATGTACCCCAGTCTCCAGAGCTGCTGCATACTGCCAGCATCAGCCATCCTCCACGTGGTGACTCCTGGAGCTGAAGACACTATTTGCGGCAGTTCTGGAAGCCAGGGCTTTTGGTGGACCGGTAACATTTTTTTTTGCATATTTATTATGCAGATATGCAAATACAATGTTGCTGGTCCACCAAATGGGTGAATGGGTTTGCTGTCCATGGTATAAAAAAGGATGGGAGCCACTGATGTAGGCCAGTGATTCTCGACGTTTGTAGGCTCAGGGCCAATTTTCCCTCTAGTCTTTTCCATCCACATGTGGATTTTTTCCATCTATGTGTGGGATACAGTTTTTATGTGCACCAAGTCATGTGCGGATGTGCACCACCAGTAGAAACACAAACCTAGCTGTGGGCGTACTGCTAATCAGCTGGGCAGTGTTGGAATCTCTCCTCAGTGGCGCACACAAACTCACAGCTTACCAGGAACCATGCCCAGGATCTATTTGTAAGTGTTGTGACCCAGAAAATAGTCTGGGGGTAGAGGCTCTGGGGTGGTTTCAGGTCCTGTGCTGGGGTAGGGAGTGGTTGGGAATGTTGGGTCTTGCCTTGGCACTCACCGTGCAGTGGCAGCTCCTGTGCTGTGGGGCAGGCTGGGCTTGGCTCTCTGCTAAAGGCATTGCAACCTCTGGAGCTGCAGCACTGCTCAGGTTTGGCTCTGTCCCTAGATTGGACTAAATTTGTGAGAGTGAAGGGTGTCTCATGGAGTGGCAGTGCCACTTCCTCGGATTTGGCCTACCTGACAGTCTGTGGGCTGGGCCAAACCTGAGTGGTTTTGGGACTCCAAAGGGTGCAATGCCTGGAGTAGGAGGTGAGCCTAGCAAATCTTGTAGGATAGGAGCTGCCGGTCTTTGAAACATTCTGGCAAGCCAATTTTGGATCCCAACCCATGGGTTGAGGAAACCCAAATGCAGTCCATCCCCACCCCACCTATTCTCTGTTATGAGGCAGGACCAATATAGCTATGCTGTCCATCAGTGGAGTATAGGTCATCAGTTCTTTATCTTCCTTCTTTTTAGTATTCATGTTGACTAAATACACTTTTCAGCCTTCTTTTTAAATGATCGAAGTCTTTTGTTTGGCAGTTGATAAAGTGTATTTCCTTGGTCTTAAGAGCTAGAACACTGCTGATGTTTTAAAGTGCCGTAAGTGTACTTTTGATCAGTTTTTTGTAGAGCTATGTTGTAAAAATTTATGTACTTCATTCAGTGAAATCTCCCCCCACATATCCTCTAGGTGCTTCTCCATTGTTCAAGGAGGGGAAGAAATTAGAGGGAGCCAAGCCTGAAGGCCCCGAGGGAGCCAAGCCTGAAGGCCCGGAAGGAGCCAAGCAAGTAGGCCCTGAGGGAGCAGAGTATGCTGCTGTCAAGCCTTTGGGGCCTGTTGCAGAAACCTTTAAAATTATTCAGGGAGCAATCAGTGAAGACGTTGTGAGGACTACCCAAGGCGTTTATCTGTTTGAACTATCTGGTAAGTAAAACTTTCTTCTATTAAATCTTCACATGCACATTTACAGTGAAATACATTCAGCATTTACACAGAGAAATAAATACTTCATTCTTAGAAGTTCATCCAAAGTACAAAAGGAAAAACTGTGTAGCACTTTAAAGACTAAAAGTGCTACATAGTTTTTCCTTTTGTTTTAGCAAGATCAGACTAACACGGCTACCTCTCTATTACTATTCATCCAAAGTACAGGGAGGATTTTTATTTGACACCTTGAAGAATGTGGACATAAGACTGCTTACCTTTCTTTGCATGAAACACTAAATCATTTAAATTAACAAATAATTACTGTCTCGTTACACAGCTGACATCAGGAAAAGTTACCTCAGAAGGGCAAGAACTAGGGACAAACCTTTTATTTGATGTGCTGTCAACTAATTCCATTGTTCTTAATTGTAGGTGATGAAGGAGGAACTTGGTACATTGATCTTAAGAACAAAGCTGGGAGTGCAGGAGTTGGAGAGCCTCCTGTGAAAGTTGATGTGGTTATGAGCATGTCCACCAATGACTTTGTGAAAATGTTTTCAGGTGGGTAGCAAAGTTTTTACCAAAGTCGAGCCAGGTTTATTGGTGTTTAGAATTATTCAAATAATTAACTAATAATTAGATATTTCTTCTGTTTCTATATTGTTATAACTGGTGAATCTTAGGCTTTTGGTGGTTCTAGTGAAATAATTATTTCCTTGATCTCTCTCTTCCTCTTAAGTTGTTCTCATCTGATAATATAATGCATAGTGCTATCTTCATATCACTGAAATCTTAACAGATAATTAAGATACTCCCTTTCCTTCCCAATTTTTTAAGATTTTTGAGAAAACTCAATAGGGCCATTGATATTTCCACTGGATTATCTCTAGATCCAAATCACTTGATACCTGCACATCTGCAGATATCCACTTTATATCCATGGATATCCACATCTGCACATTTGAGGATATATGTTTTATATCTGCGGATGTCCATGTGGACATCCATGACACATTTTTGCACATACGGATGCGGATGCAGATACAAATTTTTTATCTGGGCAGGGCTCTACATATAGCCCCTGTAAAATTTTACACACTCATAGTTTGCAAGGTATAATGTATCTACAGAGTGCACAAACTATTAGAGTTGTTCAAATGAACTGATATCAAACACATACTCCATCACTTGTTTATAAGATGAGTTCAGTGATTAAATAGTAGTTTCTATTAAGTTTTTGTAGTCTAAAACTAAACTTTTGCTAACACTGAATAATTGAGATCAGTTTTAACTAGAGAGCTTGGTAGCAAAACAGGTACATTTGTATTTCACACCTGGAGACTTGAGTTCAAAATACTCTGCTCAAGAAAGGCTGCTATTCTTAATTTAGTCCTTGTTTGGTCATATAACAAAGCCACAACATTCTGCTGCAGTCCAGCATTGTTAGCAGGACTAGAATGGAGCGGAATTGGAGATACTTTTTGGAAAGGAAAAATTTCTTCACAGTCTTTTAAAATTGTATTTGGATGCTGTTATGTAGCACTTTTCCATTTTTATTACAAATTGAAATAATCATTATCACTTGTGGATATTCAGAAGAGACACTGCATAAATCATAAATTCATCACATACAAGGGCAGTTTTTTTGATAAAGTCCACAAAAAGTCACCATAGAATTGTTGGCTTAAAAAGGGAGTATCTCTAAGCCTTGATTAATCAAACCACTCTGTTCAGCCATGCAGTTTGGCATTCTTAGCATGAATCAAACACCAAAAAATTATAAGGAAGAGACATCCTTGCAGCATCTGATAATCCATTGTCTTTTAGTTGTATGCGTTGTCCCCCATGCACATCTGTACTACTTTTCTTTTTTCTGATAATATTTTATTCCCTCTTTTTAGGCAAACTAAAGCCAACCATGGCTTTCATGTCAGGAAAACTGAAAATCAAAGGTAACATGGCCTTAGCAATGAAGCTGGAAAAAATGATGTCTCAGTTCAGCTCCAAACTTTAATTGGAAGGCTTATTGTGTGGAACATTGGCCTTTAATAAAAATGTAACCCTGTTGTATAAAGCACTAATTCTTGATTTTTTTTGATGTATTATGAAAAATCTGAATTTGACCTGATGAAATATGAATTGGTAGAAGAAGAAGAACTTGACATTATTTTAACTAGGACAACAGATTCATTATATGTCATAATGGTCCAGGTGTCTTGTTCCTCTCCTCTGGGTCCTGCAGCTCTGTCTGGTTTTGGAGAGTATTTCCATTTCTTCCTCTTTAGATCCCTCATTGGGTTTGAGGCTTCCATGTTCTAATCATCATTTTTTCTAAAGAAGAAGGCTTATACTGGATTTTCTTCAAGTTAATCAGTTGTACTGAGGAGCAATAAAATAAAGTGAAGGTCACACAGTGTGACCATAAGGTATTCCCTTTTCTTTAAGAGCTATAAACTTACTGCCTCTTGTGCTGGAAGAGCTTCAGAGTTGAGAGACTGGAATCAATTTGCCATAATAGCCTTGCAAGGCTATGTGATTAGTATGCTGGCAATTCAAAATTATAGATTTGTACTCACAATTATACAAATATAAATTGATGTTTTGGGGTTTTTCTCTTATGTGTTACATTTTTTTCTATACTAAACCTTTTACTGTGGAACTAAGGAGTTCTAAAATTTCTAAGTCAAACTTGGGAACTCTTAGTAAATTATACTAATTTAAAAAAATAGACTGCAAGCCTTTGTGACAAAGTGCCTAAATAATTCAAATAATAAAGTTTTTACAGAAAATATTTTAAACATAATAGAATTGCTGCTGTAAACTCTGTCCTGCCAAGCTGTACTCAAATTAATTAAATAAACAGAAGTATTTTATATCAGCATGCATGAACAAACATGTCTAAGCGCCGAATAAATAATTGTATTTATTTTTAATATCTTGCTATTTTAATTAAAAGAAATTAATTCTTATCTTTAAGAAAAATTTGAGCTAGATGAGGGGGGAAGGGCAGATACTGGAGACTCTGGGAGTGAGGCTAGTGCTGGGGGACTCTGGGGATGGAGGGCTCTAAGAGATAGGGGATTGACACTGGGGGGCACTGGGAACCAGGCTAGTATTGGGGAGGACTACGGGGGCAGGGCTGGCACTGGGAGGGTTCGGTGCAATGGGCTCTTGGAAACAGGAGGCTGGCACTGGGGAGGGAGGTCTAGTGGTGGGGGTGCTCTACGAGGCGGGGAGATGGCACCAAAGCATTTGGGATGGGGGGCTGGCACTGGGCAGCTCTGAGGGAAGGAGGTTGACACTGTGGGTGGTGCAGGGAACTCTCGGGTTAGTGGCTGGCGCTGGGGGGTAGTGGAGGGGTGGGGGGCTCTAGGAGTTAGGGATGCCACTGGGGTGTTTTGGGGACTGGCATGTACCCCAGTCTCCAGAGCTGCTGCATACTGCCAGCATCAGCCATCCTCCACGTGGTGACTCCTGGAGCTGAAGACACTATTTGCGGCAGTTCTGGAAGCCAGGGCTTTTGGTGGACCGGTAACATTTTTTTTTGCATATTTATTATGCAGATATGCAAATACAATGTTGCTGGTCCACCAAATGGGTGAATGGGTTTGCTGTCCATGGTATAAAAAAGGATGGGAGCCACTGATGTAGGCCAGTGATTCTCGACGTTTGTAGGCTCAGGGCCAATTTTCCCTCTAGTCTTTTCCATCCACATGTGGATTTTTTCCATCTATGTGTGGGATACAGTTTTTATGTGCACCAAGTCATGTGCGGATGTGCACCACCAGTAGAAACACAAACCTAGCTGTGGGCGTACTGCTAATCAGCTGGGCAGTGTTGGAATCTCTCCTCAGTGGCGCACACAAACTCACAGCTTACCAGGAACCATGCCCAGGATCTATTTGTAAGTGTTGTGACCCAGAAAATAGTCTGGGGGTAGAGGCTCTGGGGTGGTTTCAGGTCCTGTGCTGGGGTAGGGAGTGGTTGGGAATGTTGGGTCTTGCCTTGGCACTCACCGTGCAGTGGCAGCTCCTGTGCTGTGGGGCAGGCTGGGCTTGGCTCTCTGCTAAAGGCATTGCAACCTCTGGAGCTGCAGCACTGCTCAGGTTTGGCTCTGTCCCTAGATTGGACTAAATTTGTGAGAGTGAAGGGTGTCTCATGGAGTGGCAGTGCCACTTCCTCGGATTTGGCCTACCTGACAGTCTGTGGGCTGGGCCAAACCTGAGTGGTTTTGGGACTCCAAAGGGTGCAATGCCTGGAGTAGGAGGTGAGCCTAGCAAATCTTGTAGGATAGGAGCTGCCGGTCTTTGAAACATTCTGGCAAGCCAATTTTGGATCCCAACCCATGGGTTGAGGAAACCCAAATGCAGTCCATCCCCACCCCACCTATTCTCTGTTATGAGGCAGGACCAATATAGCTATGCTGTCCATCAGTGGAGTATAGGTCATCAGTTCTTTATCTTCCTTCTTTTTAGTATTCATGTTGACTAAATACACTTTTCAGCCTTCTTTTTAAATGATCGAAGTCTTTTGTTTGGCAGTTGATAAAGTGTATTTCCTTGGTCTTAAGAGCTAGAACACTGCTGATGTTTTAAAGTGCCGTAAGTGTACTTTTGATCAGTTTTTTGTAGAGCTATGTTGTAAAAATTTATGTACTTCATTCAGTGAAATCTCCCCCCACATATCCTCTAGGTGCTTCTCCATTGTTCAAGGAGGGGAAGAAATTAGAGGGAGCCAAGCCTGAAGGCCCCGAGGGAGCCAAGCCTGAAGGCCCGGAAGGAGCCAAGCAAGTAGGCCCTGAGGGAGCAGAGTATGCTGCTGTCAAGCCTTTGGGGCCTGTTGCAGAAACCTTTAAAATTATTCAGGGAGCAATCAGTGAAGACGTTGTGAGGACTACCCAAGGCGTTTATCTGTTTGAACTATCTGGTAAGTAAAACTTTCTTCTATTAAATCTTCACATGCACATTTACAGTGAAATACATTCAGCATTTACACAGAGAAATAAATACTTCATTCTTAGAAGTTCATCCAAAGTACAAAAGGAAAAACTGTGTAGCACTTTAAAGACTAAAAGTGCTACATAGTTTTTCCTTTTGTTTTAGCAAGATCAGACTAACACGGCTACCTCTCTATTACTATTCATCCAAAGTACAGGGAGGATTTTTATTTGACACCTTGAAGAATGTGGACATAAGACTGCTTACCTTTCTTTGCATGAAACACTAAATCATTTAAATTAACAAATAATTACTGTCTCGTTACACAGCTGACATCAGGAAAAGTTACCTCAGAAGGGCAAGAACTAGGGACAAACCTTTTATTTGATGTGCTGTCAACTAATTCCATTGTTCTTAATTGTAGGTGATGAAGGAGGAACTTGGTACATTGATCTTAAGAACAAAGCTGGGAGTGCAGGAGTTGGAGAGCCTCCTGTGAAAGTTGATGTGGTTATGAGCATGTCCACCAATGACTTTGTGAAAATGTTTTCAGGTGGGTAGCAAAGTTTTTACCAAAGTCGAGCCAGGTTTATTGGTGTTTAGAATTATTCAAATAATTAACTAATAATTAGATATTTCTTCTGTTTCTATATTGTTATAACTGGTGAATCTTAGGCTTTTGGTGGTTCTAGTGAAATAATTATTTCCTTGATCTCTCTCTTCCTCTTAAGTTGTTCTCATCTGATAATATAATGCATAGTGCTATCTTCATATCACTGAAATCTTAACAGATAATTAAGATACTCCCTTTCCTTCCCAATTTTTTAAGATTTTTGAGAAAACTCAATAGGGCCATTGATATTTCCACTGGATTATCTCTAGATCCAAATCACTTGATACCTGCACATCTGCAGATATCCACTTTATATCCATGGATATCCACATCTGCACATTTGAGGATATATGTTTTATATCTGCGGATGTCCATGTGGACATCCATGACACATTTTTGCACATACGGATGCGGATGCAGATACAAATTTTTTATCTGGGCAGGGCTCTACATATAGCCCCTGTAAAATTTTACACACTCATAGTTTGCAAGGTATAATGTATCTACAGAGTGCACAAACTATTAGAGTTGTTCAAATGAACTGATATCAAACACATACTCCATCACTTGTTTATAAGATGAGTTCAGTGATTAAATAGTAGTTTCTATTAAGTTTTTGTAGTCTAAAACTAAACTTTTGCTAACACTGAATAATTGAGATCAGTTTTAACTAGAGAGCTTGGTAGCAAAACAGGTACATTTGTATTTCACACCTGGAGACTTGAGTTCAAAATACTCTGCTCAAGAAAGGCTGCTATTCTTAATTTAGTCCTTGTTTGGTCATATAACAAAGCCACAACATTCTGCTGCAGTCCAGCATTGTTAGCAGGACTAGAATGGAGCGGAATTGGAGATACTTTTTGGAAAGGAAAAATTTCTTCACAGTCTTTTAAAATTGTATTTGGATGCTGTTATGTAACACTTTTCCATTTTTATTACAAATTGAAATAATCATTATCACTTGTGGATATTCAGAAGAGACACTGCATAAATCATAAATTCATCACATACAAGGGCAGTTTTTTTGATAAAGTCCACAAAAAGTCACCATAGAATTGTTGGCTTAAAAAGGGAGTATCTCTAAGCCTTGATTAATCAAACCACTCTGTTCAGCCATGCAGTTTGGCATTCTTAGCATGAATCAAACACCAAAAAATTATAAGGAAGAGACATCCTTGCAGCATCTGATAATCCATTGTCTTTTAGTTGTATGCGTTGTCCCCCATGCACATCTGTACTACTTTTCTTTTTTCTGATAATATTTTATTCCCTCTTTTTAGGCAAACTAAAGCCAACCATGGCTTTCATGTCAGGAAAACTGAAAATCAAAGGTAACATGGCCTTAGCAATGAAGCTGGAAAAAATGATGTCTCAGTTCAGCTCCAAACTTTAATTGGAAGGCTTATTGTGTGGAACATTGGCCTTTAATAAAAATGTAACCCTGTTGTATAAAGCACTAATTCTTGATTTTTTTTGATGTATTATGAAAAATCTGAATTTGACCTGATGAAATATGAATTGGTAGAAGAAGAAGAACTTGACATTATTTTAACTAGGACAACAGATTCATTATATGTCATAATGGTCCAGGTGTCTTGTTCCTCTCCTCTGGGTCCTGCAGCTCTGTCTGGTTTTGGAGAGTATTTCCATTTCTTCCTCTTTAGATCCCTCATTGGGTTTGAGGCTTCCATGTTCTAATCATCATTTTTTCTAAAGAAGAAGGCTTATACTGGATTTTCTTCAAGTTAATCAGTTGTACTGAGGAGCAATAAAATAAAGTGAAGGTCACACAGTGTGACCATAAGGTATTCCCTTTTCTTTAAGAGCTATAAACTTACTGCCTCTTGTGCTGGAAGAGCTTCAGAGTTGAGAGACTGGAATCAATTTGCCATAATAGCCTTGCAAGGCTATGTGATTAGTATGCTGGCAATTCAAAATTATAGATTTGTACTCACAATTATACAAATATAAATTGATGTTTTGGGGTTTTTCTCTTATGTGTTACATTTTTTTCTATACTAAACCTTTTACTGTGGAACTAAGGAGTTCTAAAATTTCTAAGTCAAACTTGGGAACTCTTAGTAAATTATACTAATTTAAAAAAATAGACTGCAAGCCTTTGTGACAAAGTGCCTAAATAATTCAAATAATAAAGTTTTTACAGAAAATATTTTAAACATAATAGAATTGCTGCTGTAAACTCTGTCCTGCCAAGCTGTACTCAAATTAATTAAATAAACAGAAGTATTTTATATCAGCATGCATGAACAAACATGTCTAAGCGCCGAATAAATAATTGTATTTATTTTTAATATCTTGCTATTTTAATTAAAAGAAATTAATTCTTATCTTTAAGAAAAATTTGCCTTAGTGAAACAACTTTCTTAATAACACTTAAAACAAAAATTAAGTGTATTCTGAAATGTCCCGCTAGCAGAAAATAACAATTCAGAAATCTCAGATGAGAACACATGTTCCTGGAACATGTTTCTAAACCCTTCCATACAATTTCTAAACCCTTTCATACAACTCTGTAGAAAGTTGAACAGATAGTGAATCTAACTATGAAAGCAAGAGTACTTACTTGTATTTCTTCTCCATGATCAGCTCTGTGTCCTGAACATCTCTACTGGTCCATCAACCCCTTCTGGTCCATAATTAGGACAGGACATAAGATAGTGCTGTACTGGGAAGGATACAGGAGGTAGGTGAATTTGATAGAGGAACACTTGCAGATGGAGGCCGAGGATGCATTCTTGTTCAATCAGCTTTGGGCATAACAACACTCTATGGCAGTGTTTCCCAATTTTATTTGGCCACGGAACCCTTTTCAGCTTGAAAGAATTTCACGGAAACCCTAGGTTTGCCAGGGTAAAATGTATCCAGCAAAAAAAAAAAAGACCCACCCAGTCCCACCTTAAAAAAGACTATCTCTTTAAGACAGGGACAGAGGAGTGCTGAGTTCTCACGGAACCCTTACTTTTGCTTTGTGGAACACCAGGGTTCCACGGAGCACCAATTGGGAAACACTGTTCTATGGCATTTTAAAGAGACATTATTAAGAGTAGAAGAGCAAATTATCCTACTGTGTAGGAAAGATAGTAAGTAGAGAGACTACTCTGGCTTAATCAGGAGATTGTCAATTATCTAAAAATCAAAAAGAGTCCTATAAAAAGTAGAAACTAGGTCAAATGACAAAATATGACTATAAAGAAACACCACAAGTTTATAAGGACAAAATTAGAAAGCCCAAGGCACAATACAAGATCCAACTGGCTAACGCCGTAAAAGATACCAAGAAAACATTCTGCAAATTAGAAGCAAGAGGAAGACAAAGGACACAGCAGGGCTGTTACTGAATGGGAAGAGGGGTAACAACAGAAAATGTGGAAACACCTGAAGTGCTTACTGACTTCTTTGTTTCAATTTTCACCAAAAAGGTTGGTAGTGATTGGACACAATGCAGTGCATGCCAATGAAAATGGCATAGCATCAAAGGTTAGAGTGGGAAAAGAAAAAGTTAAAAATAACTTGAACAAATTAGATACTGTGGACAAAATGGGATGGAATTCAATAAGGATTAATGCAAAGTATTCTACTTAGGAAGGAACAATCAGTTGCACATACAACATGAGAAGTGACTGTTCAGGGAGGAGTACTGCAGAAAGGGATCTGGAGTTCAAGCTAAATATGAGTCAGTAGTGTAACACAGTTGCAAAAAAAGTAAACATTCTGGGATATATCAGCAGGAGTGTTGTAAATAAGACACGAAGTAAATCTACTCTGCTGATTAGGCCTCAGCTGAAGTATTGTGTCTTAATTCTGGGTGCCACATTTCAGGAAGGGTGTGGGCAAACAACAAGGTGCAGAGAAGAAGTATTAAAGGCCTAGAAAATTACCTATGAGGGAAGATTGAAAAAAAGAATTGGGTTAGTTTAGTTCAGAAAAGAAAAGATAGAGGGGACGTGATAACCATATGTGTTTAAAGCTGTGGTCACCAACCAGTAATCGATCGCGAGGCCTCGATCAGTCGATCACGAGGCATTCTGGGCCCCCCATTTCCCCCACCACCAAGAAGACCCACTACCTACCTTGAGTGACAATGGAGGTAGTAGCAGCTTCCCGCGGGGTGGATGGAAGTCCTGCAGCTGCGTGTCACTTTCGGGAGTTCCAGAAATGCGCTAGCTGCTTCCTTGCCCCAAGTCTGTGGCATGTCAGGAACTTACCAGGTGAGTCCACAGAGGCATGCGCTGGGACTTCCCTTCTCTGCGGGAGGGGGGAGTCAGGCCCCGAGGGGGCGCGTGCGCAGGCTTCCCTGCTCCATGGGAGTTTGTGGTGGAGGGGGCGCACGATGGGGGTTTCCCTGATCAGTGAGACGGGGGGGGGGTCGGCCCCGAGGGGGCACATGCGCGGGCTTCCCTGCTCTGCAGGAGGTGGGAGTCGGGCCCGGAGGAGGCGGGCAACAGGGGTTCCCTCCTCTGGGAGTGGTGGATAATCCTGGGAGGAGGCGGGGGCGGGGGACTCTCTGCCCCCCCTGGCCCCCTGCCACAAAACCCTGTCCTCTGCCCCCCTCTCTGCCCCCAGCACCCTGTTCCCTCTCCCCTGCCCCCACCCACAGTCCTCTGTCCCCATTGGCACCCTGCCCCCTACTGCAGAAACCTGTCCCCACTGGCACCCTGCCACAAAACCCTGTCCTCTGCCCCCCTCTCTGCCCCCAGCACCCTGTTCCCTCTCCCCTGCCCCCACCCACAGTCCTCTGTCCCCATTGGCACCCTGCCCCCTACTGCAGAAACCTGTCCCCACTGGCACCCTGTCCCCTGCTCCAGCACCCACTAGCACCCTTCCCCAGTATCATGTCCCCTGATCCCACCAGCACAGTTGGGGCCACATTAGTGAGGCTTGGGGGGAGGGAAATTTCCACTACATGCATCTGACGAAGTGGGTCTTTGCCCATGAAAGCTTATGCTCCTACACTTCAGTTAGTCTATAAGGTGCCACAGGACTCCTCACCGCTTTTGCAGATTCAGACTAACACGGCTACCCCTCTGATACTTGACACAATGAATGTGAAAGCCCAAACCAATTAACGAAGGGCCTAATGCAAAACATTTATAAAGCACTACAGAAAGAATTCTGAAAAGCAACTACATCACTTCTATTTGTGTTCAGATTATATTTTCCAATATTTGCATTGAACTGGACTAACTCCACCTCTTTTGCAAGAACAGTGGCCTTAAGCAACCCCCAAAATTAGCAAGGTCCAAGGTTGCAAATGAATTTCTGCTCTGCGTTTTCTGGGAAGGAGGGTTCTGTCTCTCATTTCTACCTTGCACTTTGTCAACTCTGTGCCAAAGTACTCTGGAGGTATTCTCTATTGCTGGATAGTGGCACAGTTTTGAGGCAAGCTCTGAAGCTTACTTCAGCTTCTGTCCACTTTATATAAACACTGGTTTCACTTTTTTGTATAATTTCATTGTATTTTTCAGACTTCTAATCAAATAAAAACTCATTCAATATATACATATAGCCAATCAACTTGTGAGCCCCTAGAGAAAAATGGGTATGTAATAGCCAACATGGATTTGTGAAGACCAAGTCATGCCAGATTAAACAGCATTTCTTCTTTGACAGTTTTACTGACTAATTGGATGGGGAGAAGCCATGTTGATATAGTAGTGATTGGATATCTAACAGAGTGAATGCTGGTGAAAATGAGGTAGGATCAGAGGCTAAAATAGAGGAAGATAAAGTTAAAAATTACTTAAAGTAGTGGGCTCTGAGTCACCACGTAGAACTACACCCTAAGAAAGTGAGGAGATAGCTGAGCCATTAGCGATGGTTTTTGAAAAGACATGGAAGAGATTCTAGATTACTGGAAAAAGGCAAATATAGTACAGTACCCATCTGTCAAAAGTGAAATATGAGCAACTTGGAGAAATACAGACCACTCAGCTTACCTTCAGTACCCAGAAAGATAATGGAGCAAATAATGGGAAATTGAGAGATTAAATAGCTAGAAATAATGTGACAAGTAATGGCATGGGTTTGTCATGAACAGATTGCGTCAAACCAACATAATAGCTTTTCTTTGACAGGGTAACAAGCATTTTGGATAGGAGAAAGCAATGGACGTGAAATATCTTGATTTTAGTAAGTCTTTTGATATTTTTTGCATGACCTCCTAAATGAACTAGGGAGATACAATACAACCTAGATGGAGCTACTAAATGGTGGCTGCATGGCTGTTTGGAAAACCACTTTGAGACCTGGTCTACACTACATCAGGAAGGTCGGCTTAAGGTACACAACTTCAGCTTTGTAAATTTGGCTTTCCTTAAGCTGAGCCTTGGCAGTGACCACACTATGGGAGGCCAATGCGAGCAAATGCTCCTGTCAGCTTCCCTTACTCCTTGCACAAGTAGGAGTACGAGATGCCAGCAGGAGCTTCAGTGTTTGATTTAAGAGTCTATACTAGACCTGTTAAATTGAATGCCAGAAGATCAACTCTCGAGCACCACTCTGCCGGTAAGTTTAGACGTGCTCTGAGAGAGTAATTATCAGTGGATCTCAGTCAAGGTGGAAAGGCACGTTGAGTAGGGTCACACCCTCCTTCCTTAAGTCACAATCCAAACTCCCTGCACCCGCTCTTGCACCTCTGCCCCAAATCCCAACCCCCTCCTTCATCCTAACTCCCTTTCACACCCTATATCCATAACCCAAGCGCCTTTCTGCAACTAATCTTCACCCCAGACCTTGCACCCTCTACATTAGTATAAAAAATTGTGGCCCTTGACCACTTACCAAATCCTTGGAGTGCCGCCCCCCCCCCACCAAAAATTATTGCACATCCCTGGTCTAAATAACACCTAGGCTATGTCTACTCTGTGTTCTTTTTCCGCTTTTTTTCGGATGAGGCTTTTCTGACACTTGGTCTGTCTACATGGGGCCAAATGTGGGAAAAACCTCCTCTTTCGGAAGATTCCTTAATCCTTATAAAATGAGGAATATGGGGCTTCCAGAAGAACACGCCCCCTTTTTTGGAAACTGTTCCGAAAATGCAGACACTATCCCTGGACACGTTCCCTTTGGTATCCCAGAAAAACTCCGTACTGTAGACATAGCTTTAGTGCAGCAGATTGGACTAAATGTCCTCTCAGAGTCCCTTCTAGTCCTGTGATTCTGTGGTACCATAAACAAACTGGTGATCTAGATTAAATTACTATGAGGTGGGTGCACGACTGCTGGAAAGACT